CTCTAATTTTCGCTACAACACGGAGAACTATGAGGTTACTTCATGCAATCAAAACAGTCTACCAATATAGATACAAAAGTGCTAAAAGCTGAAGTTAGTTATCGGTTTTATACAGAATTAAGGTATTTTAGGAGCGCTCATCTTATTTTAGGTAATACGTGCCATCTTCTATTTAAAAATGCACGCGAAAATGCAGAATTACTAACATTAATTTTACTTTAAAATTTTAGAAATAAGTCAACGATGAATTTTACAATTTTTGCCCGAAATTTAGGTCAAATTCCCCTTTAGAGTAGTGATGAAACCTGGACAAAATCCCGATTTATTTTGAATGGGGATGGACGCCAGATAGTTAGAAGTCAACATTAAAACTCTACGCCGGTTTTGGTATATATTTTGTTGCGGATTGATCGAATTTTGCAGTACAATAGAGCACTATGATGACCCACAGCTACCGCGACCTGCATTTAGCTATAGCATCCCTTTCATACTTTCATTGCATCCTATCCATCATTGTTAATAGTGTAGATAATTTTTTATAAAAAAATAATACGCACTATACAAATGTTAACTTTTTGTTTTTTACGTTTTATAAGAAGATTTTAGATACCAACAGTAGATCATATATATGAGATGTACTCATTTTATTTTGTTTAAGGAGATGAGGGAGCTGATGGATGAATTTCCACAATGCTATGAATAGACCTTACTTATTTCAATGAATTTCACATAACCTTGTTTTCCTTAAAGTTATTTTCATCCAGGCAGGAATGGACTGCAGTTTCTATCTCGCCTGAGTCTCAACCCATACCACATCGGTATTCCAACTATGACAATTCTGCGTATACTCCCAACACGTTACCCACTACGTTACACTTCCACGTGTGCCCTAGAGTCACAGGGCAGATGTGAATTTCAAATAAGGCTAGTCAATTTCCCATACCACATCCTGTGTTGGGATTGTCGATGGAGCAGAGTTGATATAGCAATCGACTAAAGTATTTTTTTTCATTTTATAATAATGTTTTTGATGCTAACAGTAGGGAAAGCCAGACTATGTGAAATTCGAAATAAAACGTGAGGTCTACGCATAAGGTTTACTCGTGTCATTGGTTGAAAATTCAACTATTAGTTCTCTTGTCCATTTAACCGATATAGGTTGTATAAATCTCACATTAATGTTATGTGTTCGGCCAGTATCCCAGACTTTGCTGTCATACTCAAATTCATTTGAACTGCTTCAGGTCAGATTTATAGCATGTAGCATACCTGACGATTCTCCCATTTTGTTTACTTTTTATACTGTTTTAGTATATTTTTACCATATAAGGCCAAATTCATAGGATTCTTTATCTTCTAATTTAACAACGCATTATATAAAAATAATCCAGCACTCGAGTATTCACTAATTCAATTAGGCATTAGATGGAATATGAGCATTAAATCACACGAAACTACAGTGGCACCGGCACTTCCTCAAGGAGTGTGGTGATACGATTTTCCGTCCATACACGAAATCATGAAAGTAAATCTAAAAATGCAAAGCAAATTAATATTAGACTGCAGTTAGTTGGGAAGTTGGGTGCCTATCCCTAATTATGTACATTTGTTCAAATGACAACTTTGGACAGTCAAGTCTTCGAGCCTCATTAGTTCCCAATAACTTCCGCTTTACGATTTCATTCCTTTCTAGAACCACATTCTTGGTCCAAATTGGCTCGGTTTATTCAGGGGTCCTCATTACAAAATAGACCAATCAGCTTTATATCCCCTCCCTGAAACCGAAGGTTCACGCACACATATATACATACATACACACATACGTATAAACGTAAACTCACACACATGAATTTTTACATTTATCGAAGCGATCGACTAAGCAACCGAAAATGGCCTCTAAGTCCTATGTCACTTCTCCTGGTCCACTCATGCATATAAACCAGCCAAAGGTGGGTCTCAGGGCTTCTGGAAAGAGTTTCCATCATAGGACATGAGGCATGTAGACTAGCAAACCGACATATACTGATGAATCATAATCAGTAACTTTTGCATATTGAGCAGGCAATAGGAATGAGCTGTGTGATTAGGTCATATAGAATTGAGTCGTTTTTTGTCTAGTTTAATAAGCGCAGAAGCTAAAGTTGGCATTTAACGAGTTAATAAGAATCGGTATAATTGGTGGTAATACATAGATGAGCTGGAGGCTGATATGCCTCTATTATTATGTTTAAGATGTACGGTGAAGGATCATGGAGTTAAGTCTGTTGTCACGTAAAAACTGTATCCGACACATTTTGAGGCCTCTTCTCAGGAAAGCACGTTTTGACTATCGTCAAAGGATTGTCAACTATCGCCTTGATATAGAGCGACCTCTCATAGCAACTGTATCGGAAGAATCAGAGAATATTCTCGGAAGGAACAAATGCCCCAGGTCTTTACACATTACCACTCCGACAGGCAACAACATGCACATTTGGGGCAAAGACCAGATGAGATTGAAACTAAAGTTCCACCGGATAGAGAATGCCTTTTTTGGCTGCTTAAGATCAAAACGATTCCCATATTCAAAAGGAATCTTATTTGCGTGATGACATCCTGAAACGTTATCGTTTCCACAAGTTTGTCGTGACCTAGATGAGCACGACCTATTCCAATTCCTTTAGTATGGTACTTATGATAATTCCCAACGTGGGAGCGCGGACTCGGAATATTCTCAAAAGTTTCGCCGTAATCGTAGTCGGCATCATCAGTGAGTTTACTCATTATTAGTATCAAGCTAGACTTCGTCAAAAAGACAAGTAATATCTATTCCTTGACCAACTTCCTGTCATATGATTGTCTTTTTTGACAAATTTTTGCCTGATGCTAAGAATGACAAGACTCAATGATATGCCAACTACATATCCGGCTAGACGTTTGGGAATTTACCAAATGCGCGCTCCTACACTGAAAATTGTAATAAATACTATAGCAGATGACTAAGAAAAAAGTGCTCATATCTAGGTCACCCAGACAACACAATAAATTTGCGAAAACGAAGAACTTTCGGGAGGCTGATACATAAATAAACTTGCTTTTCAACATGGGAATCGTTTTAGTGTCAAGAAGACGGGCAATTAGTCCCAAAAAATCTTTGTCAATCTCATCTAGGTTGTCCTGACAACACGGCAAAGTTTGCGAAAATGAGATCAAACCACTTCTATATGGAGAAAGGAGACTACAACTAAAATAGAGACCATACAATCTTGATTTTTAATTCAATGAAAGTATTTATTTTTATTTTTGAAACATATTTACACTGAATAAAAGTTAAGCCAAGATGAGGTGGAAATATGCAGGTGCTCTGGATTAGAAAGCATTTTGGGAAAAGGAATCAAGTGAAGTTTACTGGCATCGTGAGGCCTACTCATCTCATTGTTCAAAATCCTCACTAGCAACCGAAGATATGAAGACCAAGATGGTGTAGCCTTTTGTGTGGTCGCTGTTTCCTTTCGCTGTAGATAAGTTGTTTGACCCTGTTTTCGCAACTTGGTCAGACTCTGATCAACATTCCCCGCACAAGGGCCAAGGAGGTGAGTGTGGATGTGGAGG